TGCCAGCAATCCCGTTGCCCAGTTTCGACGGAGATTTGGCAACTTGGCCGACTTTCAGAGATACCTATTTGTCAATGATTCACAAGAACAATCATATAAGTGTCATACAAAAATTTTATTACTTACGGTCATCACTGCAAGGTCCAGCAATTCAAGCAATATCTTCCATTCCGATCAGTTCAGAAACCTACCAACAAGCCTGGAATTGGCTTCAGAAACGCTTTGATAACAAACGTGTCCAAGCAACACAATACTTGGATAGGATATTCTCATTTAAACCTTTACATAGGGCATCACTGTCTTCCTTTCAGCAACTCACGGAAGTTGTGTTCGAGAATGTAAACTCTCTGAGAAATTTACATCTTGAAGACGAAGCAGGGTTTATATTGTTAGCATTCATAATGCGACTGTTAGATCCTAAAACTAGAGAATCGTTTGACAATTTAAAAACAGAAGTCAATCGAATACCAAAGTTGCAGGACTTGGTAGACTTTATTCACCAACAATGCATTCGTCTTCAAACAGAACCCTGCACAATGATCGTGCCGCAAGGAAACGCAATGAAAACAAGCCCCGAAACCAAACGAATTTTTTACGCTCAAGAGCATCAAATATCACTCTCTAAAATGTGCCACGTTTGCAATCAACATCGTCATCCACTATATAAATGTCAACAGTTCCAATCTATGGAAGTCACTCAACGAATTAATTTAACTAAAAAATTACGCGTCTGTTATAACTGCCTTTCAGTGACTCATTTTTCGAAAGCATGTAAATCAAAAACGTCTTGTCGTCACTGTGGGCGGAAACACCATTCCCTGCTTCACTTGACAACCCCAAGTGGTACTGAACATTCAATTATTAAAATTTCTTCCGCTCACATCCCCACATCTCTAGGAATATTGCAAACGTCAGAAAAGGTTGATCATCTAAATACCGCAACCGAGATTTCCGGTCGTCATAATACAAAACTACCGTCTGCAGCAAAACAGTCAGTTCTATCGTCATCCTCCCCTCAAAGTAGCAGCGTCTTATTGGGGACAGCTATGGCTCGAATGAAAGGTCCTCACGGACAATGGGAAACTATACGCCTGGTGATAGACTGTGGAGCGCAGAGATCGTTCATAACGGAAGATTTGACTAATAGATTGCAACTTACTTTGTCACCAAATACGCATCAACTCTGCGGGGTTGGGGAGGTCCCAATCAACATTGGCAAGTACCAGACCAGATGCGTTCTTGCACCACACTCTTCTTCAGAACCCCAGCTGACTACTGATGCTATTATCATTCCCCAGATAAGTTCCGCCATGCCCGCAAGCCTTCTTCCAAACCATATTAAAGAACATTTCGATAAATTTAACTTGGCTGACCCATCTTTTTGTACGCCTGGTGACATCGACTTCCTCTTAGGTGCTGACCTCTTCGGTGAAATCATTTTGGGCCGTAAGCAGTCAACCCCTAAGAACTACCCTCAAGCTCTAGATACAATCTTCGGTTGGGTAGTGATGGGCCCTCTTCAACACAACATAACATCAACTTCGATCGCGTTATTAGCGAATACACTTTCCAAAGATGACTTGAGAGGAGCATTGGCGAAGTTCTGGAGCGTCGAAGAAGTAACTCAACGGAAACACGTTGACCCATTGGAAATCGATTGCAAAGAACCCTTCCAACGCACTTACACACGGGATAGCGATGGTCGCTATATGGCACGCCTGCCTTTTATTAAAAATCATGACCCTTTCGTCAATACAAAGTCCATAGGATTTAAGCAATTCTATCGGTTGGAGGCCAAACTCATTCAACAAGTTACCCTGAAGGAAAAATATTCCCAAATTGTGAAGGAATACTTGCAATTGGGATACATAAGCCGAATTCCAGAACCGGGGCGTTATTACTTTCCTCATCATGGAGTCTTAAATGTTATCTCCACGACCGAGTTGCGCATAGATTTTGACGCATCCGCTCCGGGGTCTCAAGATGGACTGTCACGTAATTCACAACTCCACGTCGGTTTTAAACTACAGCAGACATCAAAGATATTTTATTCGCATTTCGAATATACCAATTCGCCTTGACCGCATATATGAAACAGATGTATTCGCAAATCCTCGTTCACCAAGAAGATCGGGTCTATCAACATTTTTTCTATAGATTTAATAAAAATGATGCTGTTGAAGAATTTCAATTCAATCGTGTAACCTTTGGTATGTCTTCACCATTCCTCGCGCTGCGAGTTATTCACCAATTGGTCAGCGTTGAAGGAAAGGTATATCCTGCTGCTTCCACTGCTTTAAATCAGGATCTATACAAAGACGACGTACTTACTGGGGCAGCTACTCTCGAGGACGCCATGTCTTTACGGGATCAACTGATAGCCTCGATGTCTTTGAGAAAGTGGAGCAGCAACTGTCAGAATCTTCTGACGGGAGTTCCAGAATCCAACCAAAACGACGTTTGTCTATCTAATCTGGAAGATCGAGTAGCTAAAATATTAGGAATACAATGGAACCCAACACACGATTGTTTATCCTCTGCAGTTCAGTCAAGGGAATTAGTCGCAACCAAGCGTGACATAATGTCAACAATTGCCCGACTGTACGACCCTTTAAGTTACTTGGCTCCTGCAGTGTTCAAGGCAAAGACCTTTTTGCAAAAACTTTGGCGACTTAAATTGGGCTGGGATCAGCTGGCTCCTATGGATATTGAGTCGTACGCTTTATTCTCACAGCTTTCCGAACTTCAGACTGCAAAAATTCCCCGCTGCCTTTTTCCACAAATACCACGCTAAATGAATTTAGCGCCATTCAAAGATGAGTGGGGTGTCCTCAGGGTGGGCGGTCGAATAGAACATGCACCACTCTCATATAATACTCGGCATCCCATCCTACTTCCTGGTAAGACAAGGCTTGTCGCGCTACTCATTCATTACTACCACATTGTATATTTACTCTTTCGTATATCTTCTTCACCAGAAGATTTGGACATACTCATTCCAGGACATTTCATCATTGGAACCTTTCCGGTATCGAAGATACAGGAGGGCAATACTGAGCTCTCCCTCAACCGTTTATCCCGCTGGCAATATCTCCAGAGATGCATTCAGAATATCTGGAAAAGATGGCGGCCGGATCACTTAAATCATATTCAACAGCGGAGTAAACGATCCGGCCAGGACTGTAACGTTAAAGAAGCAACATTAGTCCTTCTTCGCGAAAACAGTGTATCACCGCTACAATGGCCCATT